GGCTGGAGTGTGAGATCAACACGTACCGGAGCCTGCTGGAGAGCGAGGACTGCAAGTGAGTATGGAGCAAAGGATTTCCGGGAAAAATGTGTGTGGTGGGACTATAGGGCATTGTGGACACACACGGTGCCCATACTTTCAACTCACCAAACAACAGTCATTAATTGTGTGACTACTATGAGCCTAGCGATCTGTGATAATAAAGCAAATGTGGAGGAACAAAGGTGACAGGAACAGGCCCTGCCTCAGGGGGCTCACAATGTGGGTGGCAGTAGGGAGACTGCCAGTCACAGCAGTAACTGTTGGGTAAGGCTGACTGTGTTCAGGTTCATGGGAATTCAAGAGCGTGAGATAAAATTTTTCAAAAGGACAATATTTCACCTCTGCACGTGGCATTCTGGGAGAGGGAGAAGGAGTTGTTAACAATTAAAATTTGATCCCAGTTAACTCCAACCACTGAGAATTCATAGGCTGTCTTATCAAGCACAAGGCACCGCGTGTGCCCTAGGGCTCTCTCCACTCCCCTCCCTAATCCTTTCTAAACCTCTGTGTCCCTGCAGGCTCCCCTGCAATCCATGTGCCACCACCAACGCTAGTGGCAATTCCTGTGGAACTTGTGGCAGCTGTCAGAAGTGTTGCAATTGAAGAACTTAAACCCTCTTTGAAGATGCAATAAAGCCATTTAGATCAAGCATAGGAAAGATCCTGCTTTTGCCAGAGCTCAGTTGCCTTAAGAAATCTGTCATCTCAACTAGTATTTCTAGACACTGAAATGGTTTCCAGACCCATCAAGCAAAGCCACACATCACTGACTTCTAATGTCTGGGAAACTCCTTTGTGTTCAGGGCTGAGCCTCTTTGTTTCTGAAGATGTTCAGCTCCCTGTAATCTGAGCTCCAGTTATTACTTTAGGGTGTTTCCTGTTCATATTGCATTTCCTGCTTTCCTTTCTTCTTTGGTATTCTCTGGAATGCAAGGAGGCTACTTCATTTACTTCCCAATAAACTTTATTTCTCTGGCATAGTAAATGTGTTTCTTTTTCATATTCATGCATTGTAAGTAATGGCTGTTTCATAAAAATACCCCTTCCTTAGGAGGATAAAATGGATTAAATGACCCCAGCCATTACGCACTACTGGAAACACTGATGGAGAGAGAGGGAGAATATTCTTCCGGGAGGCTCCCACCAGGGGTAGGTTGTGCAGAAAATGTAGCCTTCAACACCCACCTCTGTGTTGCCTTGGCTGCAGGGACCTTGGCAATTCCAAGAATCTTCTCTAAACCTCACTGCTAGCTCCCATTGTCACCCTCACAAGACTGGAATTTTCCGTGTCCCTTTCTGCTAACTGCCTGAAGACCAGCTTCTATGGAAACTGCTCAGAGAGCAGCGACCCTCTCCTCTTGACCTCTCTACTGCACCTGCTCTGTTAATGTGGCCACCTGCTCCTCCCTCGAAATGCACCTTCATTGGTCCCATAACCCTGCACACTCTGGGTTCTTCTGTAATATCTCTGATTACCTGTTCACCGCCTTCTGATTAGCTGTCTTCTCTTTTTTTGTCCCAAGTGAAGGAGACACCTAGATCCTCAGCTGTTTGTTTTTCTTTCTGCATCCCTGCTCATGGAGAACTAGCACCTCTATGCTGATGACTCTCAAATCTTGCTGTCATCTCAGTTCAAGTTCTAGGTTTTTGGTTGCCCATAGGACAGTCTCATTTGATATCAGGCCATTACATCATGTTTAACTGGGCTAAAATGATCTTGGCCAAA